GTTAAGTAAGGATCTGTACTTGCTTCTGGGAATTCGTATTTGAATTTTTCATAGATTTATCTTTTCTATCGAATGCCCCGTGTGTACGCGACTAGAATCGAGGTTAAATGAATGGTAAATTCCTAGAATTTTAATTAAAGATGTATAAAATTCGATCGTAAATTTGTCTAATGTCGCGTAATAATCGGTTTTCCTATGTAGAAAAACGACCGAGCGGCGGTAAAAATAATCCTAATACTATACACTCGCTTATTATTGCGTGGCTTATCAATGATTCATTACAAATGATCGTGGCAAAGTGATTTCGAAGATAAATTAAGACATAAAGTAAAGCCTTTTTCGATTCTGCTACCGCAATATCTCTCTTCGACCGTGTCCCATACGCTCAATTGTAATAAGAATTACAACTTATCACGATGATATTATACATAAACGCAGCTGTTTTGTTATTGACGAGTATATAACTTTAGGCCCTCAACAGTTCTGTCGTATAATAAAATGAACGATTTTCAAAACGATCCCATAAACATTTTGTATTTCATTAACAGAGACAAGAGTCGCGATGTGAACCAAGTTTTTATAAAGCCCGAATTACACGAATTACACGTGAAATATCGAATATATAAATAGTAAGCATTCGTGTATTTATAAATTAGCTGATCTTTGTGATGGAAAATGATTTGCTCAGTTCATTGGAATTCAAAACTTTCCTTGGGCTTAAATACAGAACCACAATCTGAATATTCGATACGCGCGACCCTTCCCCGCCCCGCACGCCACCGCCTCACGCCAAGACATTTACAAAATGAAATTAACTCTGTGCAGTTGAGTTTGAAATCTAGAAGTCATGTTGAAATGAAATAAGATCCTACTTACATATGTACGACCAGCGCAATAAAATAGCTACTCAAAATGTTTCAATTTACAGATTATTTCAAAACAAGTTTCACTGCAATGCCAAGATTGCGCACGTATGGTTGTCATAAAAATACCGTGCATTCGAACGTTGGCGGGAGAGGGGAGTG